TCGCGACAGCCTATTTGTATATTCCTTCATCTGCATTGAACCGTCACTTAAAGCCGAACCACTTAAATCAAATTGGAGATAACCTTTCAGTCAAATATAAGCCATTTTTACCTCCCGAAATCAGTTTTAGTAGTACTTTTGAGCGAGTTTCTTGCACATTTTAACTGACCTCTTAAAAGAGGTCAATTGTGGTATAACCGATGTCTTTTATTGTAAATTGTGTTCTTTTAATACCCTTATCCTTTGGAACCTGTATTGAGCGGTAAACCTGTCGTAACCGATCACTTTGGTTCGACTGTGGCAGGTACGACCCAGGGACCATTACTTTTTTATCACTTGGCAGGGGGGTACTTTGGAGGAATCCCATGGCTTTCAGGGGGAACGAAAAGCGGATCAGTCGTCGCAAACAGATTATCAAGGGGAGGACCAAAGGAAATTGACTGTTAATTAACTGCCAATGAGGGGGCATCATATGAATATTGCAGAGCCTTGCCAATTAGGGGGAATCAGGTACATTTTATCGTGACACAACCAAAATCCAACTCCAACTCCTACACCCCCCCCCCCGGGAAGAAGGGGTGAGATTTTGACCCCTGGTTTTGGACTGATATTGGGCGTAGATCTTATACGTTTGGTTCTTAAAAAATAGAACGATCCTCTGTCCTTTCTTAAACTAGTAGGTGTTTAAAAGTGGTAGTGGCTTTTTTCATCTTTCAGGCAACATGGCGTCTACTAAAACTGGTTTGGCTTTTTCCGGTGGTGGAATTCGGTCAGCGGCGTTATGCTCTGGAGTCCTCCGTAGATTGCTCCAGAGTAAAGCAAAGGTAGACTACCTGAGCTGCGTGTCAGGGGGTGGCTACACAGGTACGGCCTTTCTTGATTGGAAATACAGAAAAGAGAAGAAAGTAGATGACGGCAAAGAATGGCATGAAGAGTTCTTTGACAACATGAGACAAAGAGCAGGATATTTCTGTAACTGGGTGAAGCCATGTCAAGGAATCCTTGATACGATTGTAATGTTCCTCCTTGTTCTTACTGTCACCTTCATTGAGCCAATTGTCATTTATGGATCATATGCATTTCCACTTGCCTTCATCATCGATTACCTTTTCGGAAAGGTAATTCGCGCCAAAGTGGATTGTGATCACGTTACAGCAGTTCCTTCTCCAAGTCAGCCAAACGCAACGGCGCAGGAAATCCAAGAACACTGTCTTTCTCGTCAAGGAACCGTAGCTTTCACCAAGATTACACTGTTTTCAGTTCTGGTCGTGCTCTTTGTCATTTTTTACATTTTATCCCAAAAGTTGTCAGCGAAGAAGTCTAAATATTTCAGACTTCTCTCATCAATATCCTTTTTACTTCTTTGTTTTACTTTCCTCCCATTTGCAATCAACGATTTCTTTATTCAAATCCCTCTGTGGAGTCGGGCGCTTATTGTAGTGATTGGTTGGGTCTTATGGTTTGTCCTTCCTCTGCTGCGGGATAAAACTTCCTTCGGCATTTTGATTTATCTCTATTCTTATATCATCTACTGGAAAGTGTACGAAGCCAAGATAGTCGGTGTCGAATTTTCTTCTACGCTGTTTAATAAGCTGCTCTTTGCCTCTGGGTTTATCATATGGTTTGTACCTTACCTAGCACAATCACGAAGGAGGCTCGTTCATGTTTTCAACAGGTAAGACAGGAAAAAAAACAGGTAAGACAGAAAAAAGTAATTTTTATCCGTATAATAGAAACTCTGTTTTCGAGACAAGTGGCCCACCCAGCCGGAGCTTATCCCAGTTTCCTTAGCATGAAGCGACAAGGAGTACTGGTACACCCCCTGGATTGGATGCCAGTCCATCTCATTTTACCCCCACCCCCCTAGTATTTCACCAGGTGTCCCTTACCAATCGCTGGTATTCATTTAGACTCCTGGGTGGAGAGAGGCACTGTGAGACCCAGACTTCTCGAGCCAGCGTCTAGCACACCCGTGTTACCAGGCCACCGCGTCTTCCTTGTCCGCAGAATGTTTATCATTAAATTGATTGCTCACTTTCAACTCAATTAATTTGCAGATGGAGACTTCACAAGGCATTTTACTCAAAGGAAAGTTTAGATGCCATGAAATGGCTGGAAATACTCCGCGAAATTTTCAGCCCTATTGGGTTTTTTCTGGAGAGAAAACGGAAACAATGCTCCCGCCTTAGAGATCAGAGAGGTAGCTTCGATACTTTGGCCAATGACATTGAGTCAGCACATGAAAGATCTTTGAACCTGGCAGATCTCACAGGGATGGAGCCTGAATATATATCAAACATGACTGTCCACAGCTGGAAGGAAGATGCCGATTCTGACACGGATGATGATCTCCTGACAATGTCACCTACTACCATAGAGCGTTTAGATCGAGGTCCATCAACTGCCGATCCATTTAAGGATAAACTGAGCCCTGAAGATATAGAATTATCAGACGCCATGGCGACTTCTGCAGCAGCGATTTCCGGGTACGATGATAACCTCAAAGTATTTCGCCTAGCCACGCTTCTTGGACTCGAAATGGGAGCATCAATGATCAGCAACCTCGAGGCAATTAAAAAAGAGTCATGGTTCATGATGGTAAGGAAATGCTCTGCCTGAGATCAGAAAACATGCATCGCCTGGTTAGGGAGAGTCAGAGAATTTTGGTTAAGTCGCGTTAAAATTTTACCTGATCCGTCCATAAGACATACACTGTAATATTCTTATTATCCCCCTACTCTCATTTAACAATTATTCCCCCCAGGTTCTGTGAATATCGTCGAATCATCCCCGAGACGAAGTCGAGGGGATTATTTGACAATATTCACCAAACCTGAGGCGAATAATTGTTTTAGTATAATTTCAGAGCTGAACAACAGAGAAATTTCTAAAATCAAAACATTTTAGTAACATTTATTAACATTTTACTTTAACATTTTATATAAACCGCGTGGAGCGGTTTATATAGCGTCATATAAGGAACCCATCGACCAATCAGATTGCTGGAAACTCTTTGCTCAGCTCTGAAATTATACTAATGACAGTTACTTGGCACATTACTGCTGACGAAACAAGAATAATTGGGCGACTTCCTGGATTGCGTGACCTTCAAGCTTTAATTTATNTGAAAAGAAAATTTGCCCTGAGCGGGATTCGAACCCACGTCCCCCTGTTACTAGTCAGGTATGATGACCACTACACTATCAGGGCAACCATGCTAGCAACACGGCAATCGAAGATGTGATTTACGTGATCGGAGACGTGGTCTCCCGGGAAACTTAATTTCAAGGTGACAGGGTAGGGGAAGCCTATAACCCTATATGAAACCCAACTAAGGATCTATTAAAGATACACTACCGAAGTTAACTTAGCGGATGACAAAGGAGGACTCAATTACGGACACAGGCTAATTTCAATTGAACGAATTCTGTATAGGAGGGAAACCCTGACCCTGTACACCCCAAATAATCATACTTAAATAAAATAAATGTTTGAAAAGAAAATTTGCCCTGAGCGGGATTTGAACGTACGTCCCCGTTACTAGTCAGGTGTGATGACCAGTACACTATCAGGACGCGGGCTTTTCTCTCTGCAACGTGGGTAGGCGCTTCTCCGAAGCTTGGTTGGTAAGGAGATCGTAAGTATTCTACTTTATTCTCTTACATTTTTCACTGTGCTAAGTACCTGCCGGGAGGGAACGCCAGTCTTTTCTACTCATTTGGGTCACCTATCTGGTTGCTGACTTTTTCTGGTAGGTCCGAACTTTGTTGCCTCTTCCAGTTCGCCTCTTCCAACAAAAACACCCAAGATCTTCAGCCTGGAGGGTGACCAGTCTAGGTCAACTGGGGGGTCAGTCCGACCAACCCATTGGCCCAACCAAAGACCCTTAGACTTTCCCTGATTCAGCTTTGCACCAGAGGCCAACTCAAAAAGGGCGTACACTTCGAAAACGGCCTTTATAGCTTCGTCAGATGACAGAACGAGTGAGGTGCCGTCCGCATACTTGGAGATAGGTGACAGCTGAGGGTAACCAGGTAAGGAAAGGCCAGCAATTCGCGGATTAGCACGGATATTGGCTGCCAATACTTCAGAGACCAGAACGTAAAGTAATGGGGACAGGGAGCACCCCTGTCGAACACCCCGCGAAAGGTCGAAAAAGGGGGAAAGGTAACCATTGAGGTTTACGGTGCTCTGAACCCGATGGTAGAACAAACGGACCCAGGCAATAAAGGAGGGGCCGAGGTCCATAGCGGAGAGAGTGGCTGTCATGAACCCCAATCGACCCGATCAAAGGCCTTTTATGCATTTTGGGCAGACCTTATGTCCTGGCCGGTCTCGAAAACCTCCGCCCAGTTTATCAAGGCTCATGACAAGAAACTCAAAAAACTGACAAAGAATGTAGTTCTTCCTTTTACTTCCAAAGAAACCATCAGAAATCTCTCTGGACACAACCTCACCCCAGATCAATTGGAAGCACTCAAGTTTGGTCTAACGCACTCGATTTATCCTCCTACCATTAGCAAGACTGATGTTTTTGCTTGCTTCGAACTGATTAGCCTCACGATGAAAAGGCATCTTATTGACACATCCAACACCGGAAAAATAGTTGCTGATCTTTCTCATCTTGCCCACTTCTACATATCCTCGTATAGACCTACCACTGCAGATCTAAAAAACCACAGCATTTTAAGGAGTCTCCGAAAGAACAGAGACATAGTCATTTTGAAACCTAACAAAGGGAACGGTATCGTAATCCTTGATAGAACTACATATGACAATGGTTTATTTAGTATAACCAACGATTCCTCTAAGTTTAAACCTATTAGTAAAGACCCTACCCTTACCCGTGAAAGTAGGCTTCAACGGTTTCTCAGGAATCTGTAAAAACAAGGTAAATTGGAGAATGTTATATACCACAACATCTATCCCAACGGGTCCCAACCGGCCAGAATATACGGTTTGCCCAAAATGCATAAATTACGCGGTCCCACATCCACACC